CTTAAACAAAACTGCTCCTTACATTTTTTTCTAACTTCCGCTATCTAAAATTAACGATATGCACTATAACATATCAAAATTTTACAGCTACTCTCTTGCCGTCGCTTGTACTCTGTTGGTTTTGACATTTCGCTGTCGATTGTTTACAATGTAAAGATATAATTATGCATGCATTCGTGCTTTTCACACTGATGAATTTCACGATTATTCTTCGGCCCGTGAAACAAATGCTAATTACTTGCCAAAAGTCTACGATCGACAACAAAAATGCCAGGAAACTGCCATCGACAAAGCCAATTTACAAGTTTGACAGTGCTTCGCAGAACTATGCGGTTAACTTGTTGCATTTGTTCCATAACTATGATTTGTTGCACGGGCAGAAAAATAATCGTGAGGAGGCAGCATGGTCGAGTGGTCATAGCGTCGGTCTCGGTGGTGCCGGGTTCGAGTCGCGCTGTGGCCATTAGCTGAGGCTGTATTTGTCCTGATTCCTGATTAGTTCAAATTCAGTTTCTCGACCATGCTCGTAAATAGCCAACTGGTTTGCCTCCTTGCCAGTTGGGAATCTTAACACACTTTATGTTTATTACTCGGGCTTTCAAAGAAATGCCCGAGTTATAAATTAGGCTTGGTTTTTTTTCCTTTTTTTTATTATTTTATTTTATTTTTTTTTGCGTTCAGTCACGAATCGCAGTTGTGTTCAAAGCACATGCGCAAGTTGTATGCGCCACATAAGCACATGGACGAGCAATGGCGGATTTTTTCAAGGTTTCGTCTTTGACTATGAAATCATGCTATACCAAATCAGTTGTCTCATGTAAACCTACGTACACATGATCGTGAACCCAGCAGAATACCAGTACGAACTCTGAAAAGTCTGAGAAACAAAAGCAGAAAGCTGAAAGAGTTTATCTTCAAACGTATTCGTCCAAGTATACCGAAGTCCTCCAAGCTTCATTATTGTTATGTGAAGATTAGAAAACTTACAAAATGAATGTAAGCTGAATACTAAGAGAATAAGCTTAAATAAAGTCACACAACATGAAAAGAAGCTTTTGTTTAATTGCTCTAACGGGGTTTATAAAGGGATAATGAAGTCGAAATATCATAGAGCTAGTCGGTATTTATCATTGTTTACTTGTAATAGTTTGATGTGTCTCTACAAGGCTAAGATCCATATGCCAAATTATTGTAAATTTAAACTGAGTACAGACATAGATAAGAACCCTGGTCCTGCTCCAATGTACATTGACCCTAGCAAGACAATAACAGTACCTGATAGCCAAGGTAATGAACTAGACAAGTATTTGGACAAAATTCTGGACAACAGTGTGTTGCAATGAGTTTGTGCTCTTTACCCTGCGAGCAGACGTCTTTTTTCTGACCCTCCGAAAAAAAACCTCTGCTCGCAGGGTAGTGCTCTTTGATTTACAATAACAAGCAAGGAGTTAATTCTACCAATGACCTCAT